GATCTATATGTGCCTCTCAGCGTGTGGTTTTTTTTCTAGAGGAGGTGAAAGTAGCCACTGAGAAATGATTTTCACTCTACGATAACATCAGTAGCAGATCATTGAAACTATTTGAGATTAACAGATGTGGTGCAGGGCTGGCTAAATTCTGTCTTGAAGGTATGGAACACGGGAACGAAATAAAGAAGTGAAGGGATTACATAGTTATGTGATCATCAACTAATGAGTGAGAAATACTAAATAAATTTTCTCACTATCATAATAAGTGGCGTGAAATGTCTTTTTAATTCGTAATCAGCTGCAGGCAGGAAGTACACATAATGATTACCAATGATGAAGTTTGCGTGCTTGTGTTTGTTCTTTTTTTATATATATTTTTAGTTACTCTAGTTATTGAAAAATTAAAATTGTTTGAAAAATATAGACTAGGAGAATTGTATTGTTCCAAATTCTGAAATGGGAAGGCCTGGCTTCAAAAATCACATCCAGATTTCCAGAAAGAGAATTAGAGGTACTTTTAGACAAGGCTGTAAAGGAAAGATAGAAGAAAAGACTAACCACCAATTGTAAAATGACAGAATGCATGGTTGTCTGCAAGAAGAAAATGCCCAGATGCAAGATGAAAGGCGCATGGGAATAAGGAAAGATGCCTTCAAAAAGCTAAAATAAGCATTAAGAAACCAGAAAATTTTCTTAGAAACAAAATAAAAAAAAGGTGTTCTTAATTGCTAAGTAAAATCATTTGTCCTATAGGGTAGTGAATGCTGGACAATTCTTCACAATTCACATCTCAAAGGAGACTTGCGGCAACAGAAACATCGTTCTACGGAAGAAAACTAAGAATACATTAGCTGGAATATATGAGCAACAATGAAGTTTTAAGGAAAATTATTAATTTCTTTAACGGCATATCAGCTGCTTATCGGTCATTTAATGGCGAAATTTAATTTTCTTTGAAGCTTTAAAGTAATAAAAATATGATATGTTATTCTGCTTTCGCAATTGAATACATGGTAGATGATACTCAGCTTTTGTGCATATACATGTTTGTGTGGACATAATTACTAGAGGTGGTAATATGTGTGTGTTTTATGTTGTAGTTTATATTTTGGAATAAAGTTTGATTTCTTTAAGAAATTGCCTGACATTATAGTGATTAATGTCCTGATAGAGTTCTTTCATGTTGGTTGCTTACTTTAGTGGCATATCAACACCTCTATGGGTTATTTAATGCAGAAATCTAAATATTTTGAACACATCTGTATGCTTTAAATTACAGATAAAGTGTATTGTCGATCATTTTACGATAAAATATATTATTAGTCATTTTATTACTTAAAATCATATTGCTGGTATTTTTACTATAAAAGTGTATTTTTATACGTTCATAATGTTGAAGAGGTCACTATTTACCCATAGCGAGGACCCTAACAGGTGCCACCACCCTGGGTCATTATGAACCTGGGAACAACAATAAATAAGAAGTGGTTCCACGCTCCTGAAAACCACCAATCTCCCGATCAGTAGTCTTTCTTTTTTTTTTCTTTTTTAATCATTTTATCCCAAGCAAGGCGGGAATGTTACTAGTACGCAGGGGTCTACAGAGAGTGAATGAGAGAGAAAAGACGGGTTATCCATGGGGTAATTGAAGGAAGGATAAAATATTAACGGCTTTCAAGAAGACAGAAGATGGCGATTGATGTCGCATTTCAATTTTTGAAGATTGTAGTTATCAGGGAGGCGAGTAAACGGAAGAGAGTTCCACCTGTGGGAAGTGCGAGAAAAGTAAATATTGGAGTAGAAGAGTCGGTTGCATTTCGAAATTTCAGCTGTAAAACGGTGGGAGCTAGATGCCAATCTAGTAGCTCGCTTAAATTCCTTTAGTCGGGGCATCAAGGAATAAAGCTCGTCGGAGCACTTTCCATAAAAATATTTGTAGAAAAGACAAGAGGGAAGCCACATTAAGTTGGCAAGAAAATAATTGAAGTCGAGATGCCGGATCAGGATCAATTATGTTAGAGATCCTTCTTTGGATTTTGTCAAGAACCTCGAGATGAAACCCGGAGTACCAGACCAGATATGGCAAAATTATTCAATGCACGGACGAATGGTAGATTTATAAATTGTCAAGATGGAACCTAACGAGAAAGAAATTTCTGGTACAACACAATGAACCAACTTTCCTTGCAGCAGATATTGATTCAATGTAGTCGTTCCACTTTAAATAAGTTGAAAACGTGAGGCTAAGAAGACTCGTCATGGTGGTTAAAAGAGAGCAGTTTCATTTTTGAGGCATTAAAATTTACAAGCCATTTTCTGCTATAGATAACCACTGACTGGAGGTCCTTTTCAAGAGTAGTGGCCAGTTTACTTAACTTTATCAGCTCTGACGTATTTGCTATTTAGACAGGAGAAAATGGTAGTGTGATCTGCACAAAGGCCTATTTAGGAACTTATGACATCAGAAAGATCATTGATGAAGACCAGAAACAGCGTAGAACCCAGGTAGAGCCTTGAGGGACACCCGCGTCCGTGTGAAACGATCTGGAAGCGAGCCCGTTCAGAAAGACCTTCATTTCATGATTTGATAGGAACAATTGGATTAAATCAAACAATCATCCTATAATACCGTAGCCTTGAAGGAGACCAGCAAGCCAAAATCCTGTCAAACGCCTTCGAGATATATAGAGCCTCACCTCGAGCTTCGCCGTTATTATCAAGAGATTGTGATACATATTCATTAATGGCTATAAACACGTCAGAGGTAGACTGGGTAAAACGTAATCTATATTGTTTGTCAGACAGTAGATCGTGAGAGTCAAGATTCTTAACTATTTCGGCATTGAGTAAAGCCTCGAATACTTTGCCTGAACGTGGTAAATGACTAATAGCGTGATAGTTAGAGGGATGAGAAGGTTCTCCAGAGCTCTTAAAAACAGGAACTACAGAGAAGGTTGATAACAGAAATATATTCTGTTGTTAGGGGGGTTCTTGGCTGGTAGGTGAGTGGAAGATATTTACAGTTTCCAAGTGAGCAGAAGTGCGTAGTCGGACAAGTGTCAGGGAAAGAAGTAAAAAAGTGATCGAGAAGAGAAGTGCGTACGTCAGGGTTACTGGGGAAATGCGTAGGAAAATCCAACACTTGCGTGAGAAATAGAATGATTGAGAAGTTAAGGGGTTAGATGCCAGCGAGGTCAGCAAGAGATTGTTTAAGCCACCTGGTATGATGTGCATTAATGTCAAGGAATACAAATATATTTGCAAACAGGTTAGGCAGATGGCCTTGTCTATATTACCGGAAATACTATAGAGTAAGCAACTGTCTTGAGAGCAAGGGGAACGGTAGAGAAAGAATAGATATCTGAGTTAAGTAGAGAGAGACGGAGACACATGTAAGAATGGTCCGGAGATTAAAGACAGAGTTCCTTACACAGCGGAAGATGTTCACAGACATAAAAACTCCCAGGTCACTAATGTGGACGCTAGAGTCCTTCCTAAGAAGAGGAAAGTACTCGGGAGTCGAGGAATCAGAGAAGAAGATTGTAGAGTGAAGATTAGTATCGTAGAGAGCTAGGATGTCCGGGGACTTTTCGGAGAGGAACGATTCCATGCTGCAGAAGTTGCTACGAATACCACGAACGTTGGATAAAGAAAGCTTTATCGTCATAGCCGGGACGATTAAGAAAAATGGAAACGAAGAAGATCATGCATACGATCAGAAAGAGACTGATGAAATGTCTGGAAAAGATAAGGAAAGAGGGTCTGTAAAATTTGACACTCGCTCCGTATACTGATAGCAAGAAGGACAAAAGAAAACAGCGAGTAACATATTTAACGAGGTTGTGTATATGGATGGCAGAACAGGAAATGGGGGCGATAGTAATATTGCTTAGAGTTATAAGGCATTGGAAGTTGTGTGGAGACGTGATCGCACATCTCTTCAAGAGACACAGTAAATAGAAGAAGCAGAAGTACAAAATACTCAAAATTCTTAAGCAACTTAAGCAGGAAATTTCTAATATAACTTTATGTTTATCTGTGCATAAATCTATAAATTATGGCTTTTCGGTAATCATAATTCATGCAGAAACATACCAAATATTTGATACAATATATATATATATATATATATATATATAAGTATATTAAAATAAATATATATATATATATAATAGATATTAAACATCAGTGAATAAAATGCACGCGAATATTCATGAAGGAAAAAGGCGCGTAGACTTACGTTCGTTCTATTTCGAAGCCGGTTATGATGATGTACCATCAAAAGACAAATATGGCGATGAGGCGAGGCATTTTAAAGCCATAACAATAATTACAACACATCTGGTTTGCTCTTGCTGAATTCACACCCTGGAAACATTGTCAACCGAGATGAGAAAAAAAATGACATCCAAATATATATATATATATATATATATATATATATATATATATATATATATATATATATATATATATATACGTGTTTTTTTCTGTCTTTGATAGAATCATAGAAAGATGTTTGGACTGAATCAAGTCAGAGTTTTCTTTGGTTTTCCTTTCACTTTTTTTACCTTTCAATTCCGTTGTGCGATAGAGTCTTTTCTATTTTATATACCGTGGCAATCTTCCTTTTCTCCATTAATCCCGTTTTTGCAAGCAAAGGATAAATCGGATAAGGGACCAATTTTTGCAGTATATTCATTCATATATATATATATATATATATATATATATATATATATATATATATATATATATAGACTAGTTCCTGCATCTCTTTTTTCTAAGCTCCCATTCAGTTCGAGAATTTGGGGCTATTTTGTTTTCTTTGTTATTTTTTTTCTATTTTTTGTGATTCTTACTTGAAATATTTTTATTTTTACTTCGTTTTTTTTTATTTTTCTCTTCACATTGCTTCTTCATTTTTTATTTTTATTTCTTCTTCATTTTTCTTCCTCTTCTTATTGCTTCTTCCTCTTCTTCTTCATTTTTTTCTATAGTGTTTTCTTCCTTTTTCTTCATCCTCATTTTTTTCTTATTATTCTTCGCTTTTCTTGTTGTTGTTGCTTCTTTTTTATTATTGCCTCTTCTTTTTTCTTTCCTCTTCTTATTGCCCCTCTTTCTTCGTTTCGTTTCTTTTCTTGTTGATTCTTCTTTTTTTCTCCTCCTCTTCCTTCTTCTTCTTCTTTTTCTTCTTCTTCTTCTTCCCAATGATACAGTTTTTTCTTTCACCTCTTTGTGTTTCTTCTCATCTATACTCCTCTCCTTCACTTCTTCTTCTTTATTTCATCTTCGTTTGTTTTTATTTTCTTATTTTTCAGTGAAATATTTTGGTAGGTGAATGCTCCACTTTTTTTTCTTTTCGTCATATTTTTTCTCTTTCTTATTCGACCCTTCTTTTCAGAATACTTTCTCATTATGTTCTTCTGCATTTTCCCCCCACCATTTTCCCGATCGTCCTGCTTGTATTTTTCTTTTCTTTTCCCTTCGCCTTCTTTCAAGAATATATTGCCGTGTTTATATTCTTTTCTCAGCATTTTTTTTCTCTTTTTCTCCGTCTTTGTTTTCGTTCTTTCTTTGTGATTTGTCTCTTTCTTTCCTTCCTCCATTTTTCAATTTTTTATTTCTTTTCCTATCTCTTTCTTTCTTTCTCTCTCTCTCTCTTTTCCTCTCTCTTTTCCTCACCATCTTTTTTTCTGGCTTCTTCTCTCTCATTTTTTCTCTATATATCTTTTCCTCTCTCTTCTGTTCTCTCTCTTCAATTCCTTTCTCTATTTTTTTATTCCCATCTCTTCTCTCTATCTCTTTCCTTTTCTCTTTCTCTTTTCGTATCTTTGGTATTTTCCACAGGCTCTCTCTTTTCTTATCTCTTCTCTTTACTTCAGTTCTCTATCTCTTTCTTCCTCGCTTTCTCTTTTCTTCTCTCTTCTGTCTTTATTCTTTCTCTCCCTTTTTCGCTTAAACTTCCATTGTATTTTCCACATTTTTTCTCTTCTTTAATCTACGTTCTCTTCTTCTAAATCCTCCCCTACCCTCTTCTTCCGCCTCTATTGTTTTTGCCTCTTTCCTTACTTCATCTTCTAGTTCCTTATATCTTCTTTTCTGCTCTATTTCTTCCTATCTTTCGATCCCTATTTTTCTTCCTTTCTCTCCTTTTCTTTTGCTTTCTTTTTGTTCATCCACTTCATGCTTGCCGTCTTCAAATTTCAAGTATGTAATAATTCGTTTTCTTTTTCGCTTCCTCTTTTATTTCCTCTTAGGTCCACTTCTTTTTCTCCTTCTTCTAAACTTCCTCTTCAACTTTCTCCTATTTTTGTTTCGGTTTGATTTTTCGTCTGTTCCTTCTCTCCCTGCTTTTCCTCCTCCTCCTCCTCCTCATTTTTTCTTCAATTTTCTCTGTCTTTTTCTACTTCTTTTTCCTTATCTTTTGATTTCCTTCCTCGTCCTACTTCCAATCCTTTCTCTTCCTCCTCGTCTTCTTCTTCTTCTTCTTCTTCTTCTTCTTCTTCTTCTTCTTCTTCTTCTTCTTCTCTGTTTTTTACTACTTCTTTTTCTTTTACTATCTTATTTTTTATTTCCTTCCTTATCCTCCGTCCCTTCACTTCCATTCTTCTTCTTCCATCTTCTCTATCTTCTGGCTTATCTTTTTATTCCATTACTTACTCTCCTCCTCTTTCTTCCTTCTTCTTCTTCTTCTTCTTCTTCTTCTTCTTCTCCTTCTTCTTCTTCGTCTTCTTCTTCTTCTTCTTCTTCTTCTTCGTTTATTTTTCCCATTTCATTTCCCCGTTCGTATTCGTTTTTAATCCACGTCAAGTGCCTTCCTCATTTTTCTTCTCCTTCTTCATTTTCTTCGTCTTCTCTGTCTTTTTCTACTTCTTTTTTTTCTATTACGCTATCTTTTTATTTCCATCCTCGCCCTCCTCCCCTTCCATTCTTCTCCTTCTTCTTCTTCTTCTTCTTCTTCTTCTTCTGTCTTTTTATACTTCTTTTTCTTCTCGCTTATCAATCTATTCCTTTACTTATCCACCGCCTCTCCACTTTATCTTCATCTTCTTCTTTTTTGGTCTTTTCTACTTCTTTTTCTTCTATTACCTTATATTTATCTTCCAACAATTATCTTCTTCTTCTTCTTCTTCTTCTTCTTCTTCTTCTTCTTCTTCTTCTTCTTCTTCTACACTGCCACCGCCCTCGCCAAGCATTCTTTCACGGCTTCAATTTTTCATTCAAATATCCTATATAACGCTAAACAATATTTATGTTTTATTTTTTTCGACCAAAACGCTCCTCCTCTTATTGTTGAAAAGATATATTTTTATGCGCCCCTTTCATGCACATCTCTCTTTTTATATCCTCCATCTGTCTCATGACAACTTCTATTTCTACGTGCATTTGTACAAGAATAAAGTTTTCTCAGAAGAACGGCACTATTATTCTCCTGTAAATTCCTCTTGGAATTCATAAAAGAAAAAGTTCCACTTTGTGAGAATATGATATATAAATTCTGTATATCATACCAAAGATTAGAGTAATTGAATGAGAAATAGGAAAAAACAATTCTCTGTAACACGTTTTCTCCTCCAGAGTAATTCTAAAGACTAAATAATGTTTTATTGATGGAATCATAGATCTACACTATTTATATGTATTATTTTCCTAACTCAATTCTCCTAGTTTTGTTCACCACTGCAGTAGTTATGTATTGAACCCACACCTCTTTTGGGCTACGTGTCCTTGAGGACACATGGGCCAGTGGATAAAAACGTTGATTGGATCCAGTGACTTCACCTAAAGAGTTTATTATATTTTCATTCACTTCACTTATTTATGATCGCATTAAAAAAAAAAAAAACATTATTTTGTCTCACAAAGCCCTTTTAAAGGGCGAAACGTATTACAGGTTTTTTTTTTTTTCCTATTTCGCTATGTAAATATCAAATTTCAAAATACGTGCACATAAATATCTCAGTCATTTAAGGAAAAGATGAATCACGCATTTCATAGAAAGTATACTTACTAAAGCTAATATTTTCATACTAATGCTAATATGAATAATTAGACGCGTACTAATAAATTAAAGGGTAATTTTATTGAAATGGATTTAGTCAAAATTGGTGCTTTATATAATTTAGTAGTTTTAGACAAATCGGAAATTAAGGATTCATTTAGTCATTTAATATATATAGTGATGAACCAGAGAGACGATATACACGTATCCATGTTGTTTTCTCTCTATTTTTAGGAATATATGTGTATGTATGTATGTGTGTATGTATATGTATGTGTGTGTGCGTGTCAGTGAGTCTATGGATAGATATATTGACAGACAGATATATATTTTCCATGGGTGGATGCATATATATATATATATATATATATATATATATATATATATATATATATATATCATACTTATTATAAAACCCAGGTGTGTGTGTGTGTGTGTGTGTGTGTGTGTGTGTGTGTGTGTGTGTGTGTGTGTGTGTGTGTGTCTGTTCGTTTATATATTGGATCGGATTTCCTACATTTTTCAACCCGATTTCAACAAAACTTCACAGGACTGTGTAAAATTACCTTGCGGTGGTTCTGACAGCGCCAAAAATTGGAAAAATACAATTGTTTTTGCGTGAAATCAATTTGAAAACACGATTAAGAGGCATCGCTATCGCGAGAAAGAAAAGAGGACAACTCATATCGAGTTATACTTATTAATAATTATAAAACCCAGGTTGTTTGTGTGTGTGTGTGTGTGTGTGTGTGTGTGTGTGTGTGTGTGTGTGTGTGTGTGTGTGTGTGTTCGTTTATATATGGGATCGGATTTCCTACATTTTTCAACCGATTTCAACAAAACTTCACTTTTTTTTGCAGTTAATGTTTCTTATTGTCTTGCACACTTTTTTCTTTATTTTTACATTCAGAATGCTTTAAAAATTCCATTTACAAGACAATTGTTTATAATAAAATGCTATTCAATCGGTAGACTCATAACGATTGTGAACAATGTTTTTGTTTGACTTTGGGTTTGACCAATTCGTAAAAAAAAAAAAAATAATAATTAAGACATGCGTGTCCGTCAACCTTAAACAATAATCTTTTGTCAATTTTATTTTTCAGTCTTTATGATGGTCGATACTTGTTCTATATCTTGTTGTTACATCCCCAGGCAACGCCGGGCTCTACTACTGTATATATATATATGCATGTATATATATATATATATATATATATATATATATATATATATATATATATATATATATATATATATATTCATGTATATATATTCTATTCAATAATATAGACATT